GCGATCTGACTGGAGTCTGTAAGAAGAGGAAATATGGGGACAGAGACATCAGGGATGAGCATGCACAGAAGGACAGCCATGTAAGGACACAGTGATGAGGCAGCCATCGACCAGCCAAGGAGAGAGAAGAAACCAAACCTGCCCACGTCTTGATTTTGGACTTTTCAGCCTCCAGACTGTGAGAACATAAATCTTTGTTGTTTAGGCAACAAAAAAGTTTGTTGTTTTGTTGTTAGTCTGTGGTATGTGGCATTTTGTTATGGCAGCCCACGCAAACCAATACTGTGGGAAATCCCAGCCCTGTCCCCTCCCACTTCCGGCCCTGGAAACCTCCCCTGGCTTCCTGGCAAACAATTCCCAGGCAATTCCAGATATCATCTGATCTTAATTTCAGAACTCTGGCATTTTCTTCCATCCATTATCACCGTGTCCTTTAACATTTCCAGAAACCTCTTTCAAAGCATAAACATTCAGCTCAGGAGCATATTGGGGAGCATGGAATGATAACAATAGAATAATACTGAGACTAGCTTCGAAAGTACTAGAGAGAAGTAATTAGCATGGTTCAGGGAAATTATAAAAAGAAACCAAAGTAGTTGAACCACTCCCCTTCACATGATACATCTCACCTACAAAATGCTTTCAGATACTTGATCTCACAGATCCTTGTGACAGCTCAGTTACAATCTCCCTTTCTTAGAGGAGGAAATCGGAGTTCAGAGAAACAATGTAACGGTCCGCCGGCCCAGGGCTGCTAGGTAATGGTGCCAGTGCTTAGACCCAGGTCTCCTGACCCCCATGTGCTATCTGAGGTGCTTCATAAATACGTCTATACTTTCATTACAACAGAGGGGGCCTGCCTGAAAGCACACATCTACCACAGTCCTTTCTGGAGGTGCAGTGATAGTAAGTAAATCCTTTCTTCCTACTTGCCCGTATAAATTATTACTCCTTCCCCAGTGAGCTTGTAATTGTCTTTTTATCAGGCTTGATTGGGGGAAGCTTAGTAATCTGGCTCCAAGCCAAAGAGCAACACATTGCATAAAGGAGACAGAATTCTGAAATGAGCAAATTAACTGAGAAGAAAATGGCACTTTTGCATATTCTTTAAAAAAGGAGGATAAAAAATGTAGTACGTGGAAGGGGCCGATTTTCCAGAACCTATGCAAATTAAAAAGAAGTCAGAAATATGTGAAAATTGGTCAAAAACTATAAAGAAACAGAATTTATCCTACACAGACACTTACACCGATTTTGTTTGCTTTCGTTCATTTGCAGCATTGCTTGTAGGTGTCCCTTCCAAAGACCCAGGCAAGAGGGGCTGGCCCGTTAGACCACCACGCACACACGGGCACCATGCAGATCTGGACACAGGCTTCCTTCCTCCATATCCTGGAAGCAAAGGCTGACTGCACCTCAGTGCCAGACAGACAGGTGTGGAGACCTAGCCTCCAGCCAGCACCAAAGATGAAATACTCCCCTGAGATTAGGGATGAGTGGAGTGACAAGAGCCCTTACCTAAGCACTTGGGTCCCTCAAACGTTTTCTCTCACAGATTCTTCGGAAACCGCAATTCCCAGTATTACCAAACGCCCATTTTCTGGCTCCTTTTCCTGTTCCAGTCTATGGCTCCAAAAATTAGCACAGAAATTCTTATAGCTACAGGAACTACTCACAAATTAGCACAGTATTCCCAGCAGGTGCACATGTGACAGCTGAGCGATATTTTGCAATAGTACATAGTTCAGGTTATTCTTCTATTTGTACATATGTAGGTCTGCATATAACACATACGAAGCAATATACAGATTATATTGGCCACAAGAGAGACTGTGAATGCTAGAATTGCAGGCAGTTTAAATTTTATAAAAATTATTCATTGCATTTAACTACTACATATACAAAAATTTTAATCAAATATTTTATTTTTAAATGAGGCTGGCTTGCAATTTTGAAATTCATTAATAATTATTTGTATTTTGCTGTAGAATACTAGATAATATTTTAGGGGAAAAATCTTGTTTAAAATATATATGAAATTTAACATTTTTAAATTTAACTCACAGCTTTTATGAAAACACAGTCAATCTTCATTATTCGTGGATTCCCTATTTGAGAATTCACTTACCTCCTAAAATTTATTTGTAACCCCGAAATCAATATCCACAGCAATTTTGTGGTCATTTGAGGACAGGCACAGAGTGCCAAAAAATCTAGGTCCCCCAATGCACATGTTTCTAGCTGAGGCCAAACAAGGCAATGTTCTGCCTTCTTATTTTAGTTTTCATAATGTAAACAACACTCCTTTTCGCAGTCTGTTTAGTATCTTACTTTTCTCATTTTTGTTGGTGGTTTCACTGTTCAAAATGGCGCCATGCGTAGTGCCAAAGGGCTGTCTAGTACTCTCAAGCACAAGGAGGCTGTGATGCACCTCACAGAGAAAATACATTGTCAGATAAGCTTTGTTCGAGTATTTTAAAGTGCCATTGGCTGGAAGTTTAATGTTAATGAACAACAATATATACTAAATAAGGTGTCTTTCAACAGAAACACATAAAACAAGGTTATGTATTGATCAGCTGACAAAATGCTGTGACCAAAAGCTCACAGGAACCTAACTGTATGTGTCCTAGGAGCAATGATTTAGTATTCACTAATTCAGCATCAGCAGTGACTTGATAGAACTACGACCATAAATAATGAGAATTGACTGTATATATATATATATATATTCAAGTTTTGTACACTTTGAATGCAATTACATCTTATTTTTTAATTGTTCAGATCATACTCTCTGTAGAACACAAGTTATGTGAAAATCTTTTCTTTTTCAAGATTTTGTTTATTTATTTGACAGAGAGAGACACAGCGAGAGAGGGAACACAAGCAGGGGGAGTGGGAGAGGGAGAAGCAGGCTTCCCGCTGAGCAGGGAGCCCGATGTGGGACTCGATCCCAGGACCCCGGGATCATGACCTGAGCTAAAAGCAGACGCTTAACAACTGACCCACCCAGGCGTCCCTGTGTGAAAATCTTGATAACACAGTTAGTAATTATGCTTAAGGGAAAGCAAGAAAAAAAACTGTGGGGACACCTAGGTGGCTCAGTTGGTTGAGCATCCCACTCTTGGTTTCAGTTCAGGTCATGATCTCAGGGTACTGGGATCGAGCCCAGCATCAGGCTCTGTGCTCAATGGAGAGTCTGCTTGTGGATTCCCTCTCTTCCTCTCCCTTTGTCCTTCTTCTGCTCATGCACACAAGGGCTCTCTCTCTCTCTCAAATAAATAAATAAATCTTAAAAAAAAAAAAAGGTTGCAATGCACAAACCAGCCTTATATTTACAACTAATGTGAAGAAGGAAATGAAAGCCAAGGGCTGGCCATGTTTGGATGTGCATCACTGTGGAGACACAAAAATTCAGAGAGACCAAAAGTAACCATAAGAAAATTCAGAGAGGGGCGCCTGGGTGGCTCAGTCGTTAAGCGTCTGCCTTCGGCTCGGGTCATGATCCCAGGGTCCTGGGATCGAGCCCCGCATCGGGCTCCCTGCTTGGCGGGAAGCCTGCTTCTCCCTCTCCCACTCCCCCTGCTTGTGTTCCCGCTCTCGCTGTGTCTGTCTCTGTCAAATAAATAAATAAATAAAATCTTTAAAAAAAAAAACAAAGAAAATTCAGAGAAATTGGGCGCCTGGCTGGCTCAGTTGGTTAAGCGACTGCCTTCAGCTCAGGTCATGATCCTGGAGTCCCAGGATCGAGTCCCACATCGGGCTCCCTGCTCAGCAGGGAGTCTGCTTCTCCCTCTGACCCTCTTCCCTCTCGTGCTTTCTATCTCTCATTCTCTCTCTCTCTCAAATAAATAAATAAAATCTTAAAAAAAAAAGAAAGAAAATTCAGAGAAATCATGGGAAAGCATCAAACAGGAGTTGGAATCATTCTTATCTAGATCTTTTTCAGACCCCAGAGGACATCTGGATGAAACATAAAATTTCAGAAACATCTGTCTTTTGAAGGCAAAAGGAGAATTTAGAAGTTGAAGGGATGATTTCAAAATAAAGGATGCTAAGCCACTGATTGAAAGGATCCCACTACAACAGGGTTTGAACTGCTGTTCACAACCAGTTAGTGGATGATAAAATCACGGTTGGCAGGTCACAATCATATTTTTAATTAAGTAATAAAATGAAAAGGAGTAGTTCAACACCACGGGCCATTAGGGAAATGCAAATTAAAACCTCGATGAGGGGCACCTCGTCGACTCAGTCAGGAGAGCATGCAACTCGATCTGGGGGTCTTAAGTTCGAGCCCCACTTTGGGTGGAGAGATTACTTAAATAAAACTTAAAAAAATGTTTTTTAATAGTGGTAATACCAAGTACTGGTGAGAATGCTAAGAATTTCTTATACATTGCTGGTGGGAATGTAAAATGGTACAGCCACTCTGAAAATTGTTTGGTAATTTCTTACAAAACTAAAATATACTTACCATATGACCCAGCAACCACTCCCCTGGACATTATCCCAGAGAAATGAAACCTTATGTCCGCACACACCAGAAAAATGTACATAAATGTCCATGGCAGTGTTATTTTTAATAGCTGAGAACTGCAAACAATCAAAAGGACCTTCAACAGGTACATCCATGCCATGGAATACCACTCAGAAATAAAAAGGACCAAACTACTGATACACTCCACAACTTGAATAGATCTCAAGGGCTTTCTGCTGAGCGAGAAAAGCCAATCTCAAAAGACAAAATTTTAGGGCTCCTGGGTGGCTCAGTTGTTGGGCGTCTGCCTTCAGCTCAGGTCATGGTCCCAGAGTCCTTGGATCAAGTCCCACATCAGGCTCCCTGATCGGAGGGGAGCCTGCTTCTCCCTCTCCCACTCCCCCTGCTTGTGTTCCTGCTCTTGCTCTCTCTGTGTCAAATAAATAAATAATCTAAAAAAAAAAAAAAAAGAAAATTTTAGAGACGGAAAACAGATTGTGGTTGCCAGGTGTTATGAGTCGGGGTCGAATGGAGGTAGGTGACACTCTAAAGCGGTAGCACGAAGGATTCCCTTTGTGGTGATGGAATAGGTCTGCATCTGGATTGTGGTGGTTGTACAACTCGGAACATGTGATAAAATTGCAGAGAAATACACACACATACACATAATAAATGGGTGAAATCTGGAAAATTCTGTAGATTGCACCAATGTCAGGTGCCTGGTTTTGATATTGCACTATAGTTATATAAGATGTTACTATTGAGTACCCAGGGAACCTCAGTGTACCATCTTTGCAACTTTCTGTGAGTCTATGCTCATTTCAAAATGAAGAGGTTTTACAAATGAAAATGAATAGAACAAAGAAGCTTAGAGTACAACACTCATAGTGAAAGTGAATATTGTTCTAGGAAACTTTTGTTTCATTTGGGCTTGCTCTTGTGAGTCACAGTGTGAAATGTACTTAATGCACTTCTTGGGGAGGGAGGCAATCAACAAGTTCAAAAACAGTTTGAAAAACCATTGCTTTACAGCAAGCTTGAAAGACTCAAAGAGCTAGAGGGGCCAGGTAGACCACGTGAAGAAGTAAAACGGGCCCGGCTCATTAAGATGTCATGGTTCATCTTTCCCATATACCTAGTTCTTACTATGGCAGGCTTCACAATGATGTAAGTATTCTTTACTTCCACAGATAAATAGGCTCTTTCTTCATTGCTTTAACTACATGGTACTCTTGATCTAGCTGTTCTCCCCACTTTTGATAGTGAATTAGTTTATCTATTGCTGAGTAACAAACTACTCCAAATCTTAGCAAGATAACACAGTGACCACTTATTATCTCACAGTTTCTGGAAATAGCTTGGCTCAGCAGTTCTGGCTCAGGGTCTCCCAGGCGGTTACGGTCCAATTGTCACCCAGCGCTGCAGCCATCTGAAGACTCACTTGGGGCCAGAGGACCCACTTCCCAACTCCCTTGTTGATAGCCTCCACTCCTCACTGGCTGCTGGCCACAGCCTTGAGCTCCTCACTACATGGTCTTCTCCATAGAGCTGCTCACAATATGGCAGTCGGCTTGCCCCAGAAGGAGAGATACAAGAGAAAGAAAGATAAAGCCAGGCACCTAAATGGAAATTAGAGTCTTTTATAACTTAACTTCAGAAATGACATACTATCTCCCCTGCCATAAAACATTGGTCACACAGACCTTATCTTTGTACAACAGAGGAGGGGACTTCACAAAGGCGGGAACAAGAGCGGGGGATCACTGAGGACCACCTTAAAAGTTGACTTCCACAGAGAGAGGTCTAGGCACAAGAAATATTTCTCTACTATAAGGAAAACACCAGTACAGATATGAGAAATGACAACTGCCCCTGGTCTCCATGCTGGGAAGACATTAGGGAGTGGTAGAGAATCCAGTCAAGTGAAGAGGACATGGCCAATTTCAGGGGTGAAGCTGCTAATCGAATGCTGCCATGAGAAAACAGAGCTCTTAATGTGGAAATCGTTCCATGTTAAAATTTAATTAAAAATTTAAACCCAGATTCAGATTTCAACAATGCCACTTACCTGCAGTGTGACCTTAACCAAGTCTCAGATCCTATGCTGTAAAGCAGAAATGATCAAAATTGTGCCATTTCACGCTGCTTCCGGGAGGATTAAGTGGGATAATACCTGTAGAAGTCCTTTGCGCAGGGCCTGGAGCACAAGAGCCGCTCCATAATGTTGGTTGCCACGATTATTGCTGTTCTAGCGCCAGAGATGAAAACGGAGCAATAATATTCCCACTCTGTGGCTATAGGCCACTTGGGCGAGCTAAGCAGCTGCCAACGTTTAAATAAGGGGTTTTCCTCCACACATCTACAGAGCAGAACGATCATCAGGGAGACTGAACCTCAAAGGCCTGCTTCCCCTTCTTCACAATTTTATCTTGGAGAAGTCCTCAAATTCCATGACCTACAAAGAGAACTAGAGTTCTGATGGCGTGGAGAATACAGAGGTCACAGCCTGATCTCTTTGCTCCCTATTCCTCCTTGTGTGAGAGTCACACAGCCATCCTCAGGCTGACAAAACTGGTACCCAAGAGGAGGCTGAGATAACAGCAAAAAAAAGGACAAAAAAGGTCATCTGGGGAGAAACAGATTTGCTCACCTGTGAGCCTACTCCAGTGCAAGTTCTGAACTATCTCTGTAACAGTCCACATACCTGGCTAGCCACCTCTCACTGAATGCCTCCAAGGACAGAGAACTCATCACCTCTTCCAGAATAGCTTATTTCATTTTGATTAAGAATTTTATGTATTGGGGCACCTCAGCACCTCAGTGGCACTGTTGGTTAAGCATCTGACTCTTGGTTTCAGCTCAGCTTGTGATCCCAGGGTCATGAGATGGAGGCCCATGTCGGGCTCACACTCAGCTCGCAATCTGCTTGGGATTTTCTCTCTCCCTCTAGGTCTGTCCCTTCCCTGCCCTCTTTCTCTCCCAAATAAATAAATATTTAAAACAAAAGAATTTTTTGTATTGTTCAAAGAATATTGATCGAGCACTTACGGTGTCATGCATTGCATTTGGTGCTGGGAATGCAGTGGTAAACCAGACAGATGAGCTCTTCCATTTCCTAGTGTGGGGTGAGAGACAATAAACAAATAAAGGAATATATAACACATTTGGTAGAGATGAATTCTATGAAGAAAGATGAAACAAGGTAAAAGTTGAGAGAATAACAGGGGAATTACTCTAGATGGGTGGTCAATGAAGGTTCTCTGAGGAGAAGGCACTTAAGCAACTTTCTAAATGAAATAAGAAGGTGCACAATGTGAATATCTAGACTAAGAAAAATATCTCACATGAGCATTTCAGCAAGGGCAAAAACTGAAGCAGAGTGAATGTCTTCCTTACAATCAAGGGAAACTAGGACTGAAAACTCTTTCCTCTTACTCACACAGCCACAAAATTCACCTCCTCTTAAGAGGTAATCATGTTCATCACATCTGTCTGTACCTGTAGGGTTTCTGGTCAGATCAAGAAGGCCCCACATCTGCCCCTATCAGGTCTAGTCTCATCATATTTTCTCCATATCTCCACAGGATCCAGCTTGCCCTAGCGTTTACAGAGTTACATCCTTCCTAATATAATTAGCATTCTGTCTACATACCCATTCAAATCCCCAATTTAAAAAAAAAAAAATGTCAAATTGAACAGGCCTTGAGGAATGTTGCCCCACAGCAAATCTCCAAAGGCTCCCCCCACACCAACGCCCTCCCCCACCTCCCTACCCTGCAGTTGACAGTCATCAAGAGCCCATTAGCTTCCTCTTATTAGCTCGACATTTTCCAAAGCATCCTTCTCAACAAAGAAAATGGAAATGTAATTGGAGTTGAGTGGTTCAGCTCTCTCAACACCATCTGTTAACAGTATACAATCTGTTCCAAGCAGCAGGCTGAAATGTTGTCAGACATAAATGACACCCAAGTCATAAGTAAATGCAAGGTATGAGCCTGAGCTTGTTGATTGACTCAGAGTAATTCATTTACCACACTAGACTTGTAACTCAAGAGTCTCACCATCTTTATGTCTTCCACATCCAGAGGACACTGCCAGATACTTCATGGATATTTGATAAATGTTTATTGAATAAGTATATGTGTGAGTATCGCAGAAGATATTTAGGAAAAATCCCCAAATGGGACCTGAGACCCTGACACCAGTAAGGTATGACTTTTCCATCTCATGGTGCTGCTGCATAACAAAACATCCCCAAACTTAGTGATTTAAAACAACTACAAATTTATTTTGCTCACCAACCTGTAATTTGGCCAGGGACAACTTGTGTTTGCTCCTCCCAGCACTAGCTGGGACAGTTCGAGGCTCACCTGTTCGCCTGCTTACTGGTTGATGCTACTAGCTGCTGGCTCAGACCTCAGCTGAGACTGTAGCTGGAATGCCTACAAGTAGCCTTTCCTTGTAGGTGCTTGGTTTTCTCAGAGTGCAAAGGCATCCTGAGAGAGTCAGGCAGAGCCCTGGGGCCTTTTATGTCCTAACCTCATAAACTGAAAAGCATCACTTCTGCCATATTTCATTCACTAGAAGAAAGTCATACAGGACAATCTATATTCAAGAAAGGCATTTGATACGTGTATTATAGCTGTCTCTAGAAGAAATAGGTTCCTCTGTTTCCAAAATAAAAGTTGGAATTGGAGTTCACCAGGGGTCCAAATTGGAACAAATGCTCAGGCCAAAGGTGGGGCCCTGTAAGGTAATACCTAAATAATGCTTGGCATTGCATCTGAAAAGGAATCAAGTGGCAGTGAGACCTTCCAAAGAGTCGATGTCTCAGGAGGTCTGGAAATTTCAAGCTCAAATTTGGCAGATCCTTCAATAGTGTATCGCAGAGAATGCTCCAAGTCCATCCAAGCCTGCTTTCTTTTTCTCCTGGGTGCACAGCTTGACTACGCTCCCAGCCTCCCTCACAGTTAGATAAGACCATGAGACTAAGTCCTGGACAAAGAGATGAGAGCAGAAGTAACGGAGACTACTTTTAAGACTGGTCCATAAAAACTCTGATGCAGTCCTGTATTTTTTCCTCTTTTCCTATCCCCTGGCTGGATGGAGTAAACTTCCAGGACCCAGAGGAGGACAAGAGGGAAGCTGGGGTACCTGAGTCACTACATGGAGGTAAGCTGCCCGACCAGAAACACCAGCATATAGTGTTGCTGCATGAACGGGAAATAAATTCTTATTGCTTTAAGCCACCTTGGAGGCTCTTTGCTATAGCTGTTTGCCTACCCTGCCTGTGAAGTTGGATTTTTAGTCACGAAATATTCATTCCCCTCACTCCCCCACCATGGGTGGAATATATTTCTCCACTCCATTAACAGTGGGTTTGGCCAATGGGATGTTCATAGACATGAGCTGACATAATATGCTTTTACACACACTTCATCACTTCTACACTCTTCTGTGCTACACCCTCTTCCTGTTCTGCCATCACCTTGGGAAGAACAAGCATCAGCTAGATACTGGTCCAGAGGATGAGATCCAGCTGGCAGCTTGGAACCAAGCCCAGCCTAGCCCAACCCAGCAGCAGCTGACTGACCAGCAGATGAACGAGCAAAAATAAATGATTATTATTTTAAGCCACTGAGTTTTGGAGTAGTTTGTTACACAGCATATTGTGGAGATAGTTGACCGATACACTAATGAAGTTTGAGTATGGCAGTCTCGTGGGGCTGCCATATTGGTGCCTTTTCTATTACCTCACTTAAGCTTTATACTAAAGCTATTTTAAAGATGAAGAAACCGAGGTGCAGGAAAAGACTTGCCCAAGGCCACACAAGGATTTTGGTATATCACATTCATAAGCCTAAATACTCTTCCTTCTGTTCCAAACACACTGAGGGAATGTGAGAAAAGCAGATAAAATCAGGGCGGCAGGGACAAGATTTAGGATGCTTCCACCAAATCCCACTTTAACAGAGCTTCCTAATAATACCCCTTGACGCTTAAAAAAGCGAAGTTCGGGACAAATAAAACAAAGACCAGCCTCACCCCCCTAGGGTTGTTAATTTACAGAACTTACTATCTAAACATCTTTAGATAATACAATTGAAAATACAACTTTTCTAAGAAAGATTTGAACAATCGCATTACACCACTCCTATAATGGGTTAATAAGGAAAATAACCTTTGCAAGGATATTTTCAAGGTTAACTTCAAGGAGGAAAACCACACCCTTGGACACAGTGTTCCTAGAGCCCCGGTGAGAGAAGGACTACAGAGAGCCCTCTCCGACTGTTTACCGCCCTTCAGACAATGCTTGTAACCAGCCTTCAAGATGAAACGCCCCGCTCAGCAAGGCAGACGACGAGAGGGCAACCAGCCCCAATCTGAGCAAAGAGCAGTGAAACCTGTTTCCCCTGCCCCTTCATCACTAGGAACCCTCGGCTAGGATTCTTTTAGTGCGAGACGACGCAAGGGCTCAGCCTCCCCGAGGAGAGGAAAAGGGGAGTTGGGAGGTTGGGGGGGGGGTCTCTTGCGAGCAGGGATTACTGAAGAGCACGCGTGCAAGGCCGCACATCCATCCACACCTACGACTGCATACTACACATACACACCACACACCCCTCCCCCGCCGGCCCCCACGCCCATTCTGGAGCGGAGCAGCAGATTCCCGGCGAGGGGAGCCCAGCCCCAAACTGAAAGCGAGGGCCCGGCGCCCACCAGGCAGTGCCCACAGCCTCCACCGCAAAGGCACGGCGAACTGGGGGCGCCGGGAGCTGGGTCCCCCGCCCCCCGGGGACAGGAAGGGCCGCGCCCTGCCCGCGAGGCGGCCCAACCGAGGGCGCGGCAGGGAAGCAAGGGGCCCGCACCGCCCCCGCCCCCGCCCATCGCCTTCCAGCACCGCCCCCGCTGCGGCGGGCGAGGGGCGGGGCGGGGCGCGGCGTATATAAGACGAGGGGCGGGCGCCGTTCTTTTGTCTCTTGCTGCAGCGACGCGAGTGGGAGCACCAGGCGCCTGGCTCGGAGCGGAACTCCACGGTGAGCGCTGCCTAAGGCGGGGGCCCCATCCGGGTGGGGTCGGAGCTGGTGTACCTGGCCGGCGCGCGGCAGCTGCAACAGGCGCCCTTGCCCGACGGGACGCCCGGCCGATGGACCACGCCCTGGGGCTAGGAGGGGGGTGCGGGACGCGCCCAGATCCTCGGCCTGCGGGGACCGGGAACGCCCCGGCCGAGTGCCACGTCGAGAGGCGTCGGCGGAGAGGCGGAGGGGACGCTGGCCCCGGCCGCAGGCCAACCGCCTTGCTTTGCCCACTAGGATCGCTTTAAGAAAATGGCAGACAAGCCGGACATGGGGGAAATCGCCAGCTTCGATAAGGCCAAGCTGAAGAAAACGGAGACGCAGGAGAAGAACACCCTGCCGACCAAAGAGAGTGAGTGCACCCCCGCCTCCGGGTCCGCGTGCCCCCAGCCCAGCCCCCCCCCCGCCCTTTCCGAGAACCCAGCCCCACCCCCACCTGACCACGGCGCCGGGTCCCTGTGGCCCCGGCCCCCTTTTTGTTCCAGGAAGCGCATGTCTTCGCAGCCCCAGGCCTCTTTCTTAAGACCCATACCTCGCGGGTTCCTCGGCCGGGGGGTTGCAAGGTGTCCTTATCCCCCAGTGCCGCCTTCCTTCTCTCTACAGCCATTGAGCAGGAGAAGCGGAGTGAAATTTCCTAAGAACCTGGAGGATTCCCCACCCCCGTCATCTTCGAGACACCCCAGTCGTGATGTGGAGGAAGAAGAGCCACCTGCAAGATGGACACGAGCGACAAGCTGCACTGTGAACCCGGGCACTCCGTGCCGACGCCACCGGCCTGCGGGTCTCTGAGGGGACCCCCCCCCAATCGGACTGCCAAATTCTCCGGTTTGCCCTGGGATATTATAGCAAATTATTTGTATGTTTAATGAAAATAAAACACACCTCGTGGCATGGCTGGCGTGGTCTGAGTCTTAGTTGGGAACGCGTGGGCAGTGTCGCTGCAGCAAAACCCCACGCGCCGGAGTCGAGTTGCTGCCGCAGAACAGCGGGAGGGGGTCGCGCGGAACGGCCGGTTTGGAGGGACCATTTTTAATGTTGATTTTATCTGCTTCTCCATGAGATTTTGTGGGCTATTATTAGCTGCTTAGCTCTTGCTTTTCATGCACTTCATGTAAAATGTAACCTCACTTTGTCATTCCTGGAAGCTCCTTGGGAAAAATGCTTTTCCAAGGGAGCAGGATTTGTTTTTCGTAAGCTTTTACCGTCCCACTGTTTTTCTGGCCTCATAGTTCTGATTCACACCCGGAAAGAACAGTGATTTAAAGTCTGAGAAGAAAGGGGTAAGAGACTAAATCCGGAATGTCGGAAATTGGGTGAGGTCACAAAAGTCTCCCGGAGGCTTTCTTGGAACTTAAAGGAAAACAAAGGCGGGATCCAGGGGAAACCACAGCAGGAACATCAGCGCTGGAGGGGACAGCCTAGCTTTTTGTCTTCCAACCCTAGTGCAGAACCTTCCACAAAAGCTAGCCGTTAGAGGGAGTGCTGGGCTGAGCAGCCTCTGGCGCTGGGAGCAGCAGGAAGGGTGGGTGTGTGGAGGGAGGGCTCGGCTGGCAGCCAGCCCCCGCAGGGTCACACCCTCTAGACCCCTGAGGAGAGGGGGACCAACCCGGAGGGGAGTAGTGGCTGGGAGGTGGGGGGGCTGCAGGGCATTTTGGAACAAAAGAAACTGGCTTACGATTCCAGGGGTGAAGTTTTCTTCTAAAAAGGGAGGTGAGGACACATTGCTTAGCGCTTTGTCCCACATTTTTGTCTGCCCGTAAGAGGCTGGACACTGGGTGAGGGCAAGTAATTTGAATGAGGTGTGATTCCTGTCCACAGGAACTTAAAATCCTGGTGGGTGAGACAGGCCGCCACAGCAGACCAGAGCAGGGACACCTAGGCTGAGGGAGCCACTGCCCATTTTGCACAAAGGAGTGACTTGACAGACCTGGGCTATGGAGGGTAAGTGTACCTGGGGTGGGGCTGGGGTTGTCAGGGTGGGGGGTTAAGGAAGAGAAACATTAGCCTCCCTACCTGGGGTGGGGGAGGGAAGGACACTAACCTTTACTGAGTGTCTGCTGCGAGCCACACGTTGTGTTAGGATTTTTAGTTCTCAGAAACTATTTAAGCAATATAATTACCCATTTTACAGATGGGGAAAGCTAAGGTCAAAGAGACTAGGGATTTGCTAAAGTCACACAGCCAGTGAGTACTGGAGCCAGAATTTGGGACGAGGGGTGTGCTTTTGGGGACTCCATAACCCAAGGTTTGGAACATCTGCTGTGTCAAACATTTCGTGAGATTTCATGAGTCTTTACCACTTGAGCATAATTGACCCTGTTGGGGTCTCTTGTTGGGAGGTTAAAGAAGAGGGAACAGAAGAAATCTCTGCTGCCTCCCAACAGGAACACACTGGGTCTACTGGTGAGAAGGGCTCTGGAGGAAAAGACTGGGGAGGGAAGGGGAGAAGTGTGCTGGGACGGGAGGGAGCGGAAGCACCACTGCAGTTTTCAATAGGGCAGTCAAGGGAGGCCTCTGGGTAAGACAAGAGGTTCCAGGAGGGGGAACGCAAATGCACCGGCCTTAAGGTAAGAGTGTGCTGGACCATCTGAGGAAGAACAAGCAGCTGGAGTGGAGTGAGCACGCAGCAAGGAGATGGGTGAGGAGGCAGGAGATGGAGGAGGCTGATCGGAAGGACTTGGCAACTGTTACAAGGTTGGTTGCTGAAGGGTGCCTCCTTCCCCACCCCCACCCCACCCCAAGCACCCTCCACCTTGGGAGCTCCGTGGGTGCCCCTCATGGGCACGATGAATCCTGACTAGGCAGCCACACCTAAGGCCTCTTTGGCCCCAACCTCTTCTGGGGCCCTATCTGGGATGCAAATCGCATGCTGCCTTCTTCCTGTGGGTCCCACAGACTCCCTGACCCCAGCGGGCTCACCCTGGAGAGCAGTTCCAGAACCCCGTCTCCTAGGGCGCCCTTACTCTCAGAAGATTCCCATGACTCTCTCACCCCCTCCCCAAGAAGTCCTTCCTATTCTGAGGTTATGCAGTGCTCATGACAGCCTTGCTCTTCCTACGAATTTAAGACACAAATCAAGAGGAGCCTTAGGGCACTTTTGCTTTTCCACTCTAAGATGATGAGCTGATTGGATGGGGCCAGGGCAAGGTGGGGAAAGGAAATGCAGTTGGGAGAGGGAGGTCACTTACCGTTTCAGAAGTCTTACACCGCATCAGTTTATAAGGTAAGGCTGCCTTCCCCCACCCATCTGGGCTCCCCAGCTGCACACTGGCACACACATCTAGACATCCTGAGGCCTGAATGTTACGACCAGAAAGGCCGAGTATTGGCAGAGAGGCCCACCTTTCCTAGTTCCCTCCTTTCTCCCAGTGATCGATCCCCTGGGATCATGGGGAAATCACAGTGGGGACAGCCCCAGAACCTGGAGTTGGAATACCAGAGAGCACTGAGGCACCCCAGGCCCTCTTATGCTCTCTTTTCTATCCCTTGCCACAGGGGAGTACCGACACCCTTGGGAGAATTATAGTGAATTGCTGGTTTATACCCTCTCCCTCCTTTCTGAGAATTCAGGGACCAATTACTAGTCCAATCACAAATGAGGCTTGCTCTGAAGCTAAAATGAAAAGATTTTTTTTTTAAAGATTATTTATTTGACAGAGAGAGCACGCGCGCACAAGTAGGCAGAGCGGCAGGCAGAGGGAGAGGGAGAAGCAGACTCCCTGCCGAGCAGGGAGCCCGACGTGGGGCTCGCTGTGGGGCTCAATCCCAGGACCCAGGGATCATGACCTGAGCCGAAGGCAGACACTTAACTGACTGAGCCACCCAGGCGCCCCAATTTTTTTAATCCTATGAAGAGCTAAGGATTCCCAGATTTTAAGGCCATATACTATTAATTCAGAGAAGAGAGCTGAGAATTGTATAAGCCCCCTCGAATATTTTCCCCACTTTGAGTGACCCTCTGTCTCTTCTAATTAGTCAAACGTTAGCCATCCTACAAGGCCCTACCGATCACCGCTTTCTCTGATTAGCCCTCGTGGATTTCCATCCGAAGACTTTCTCTTTCTCTTCTCAGCTCCTATCTGCACCTCTCTGCCAGCACCTGGACACGTACATCACTTCTTGGCTAGACTGAATAGAGAATGATTCTTATTAATTGAAGCCAGCACATAATACACAGTAGCCAGCACATAATGCATACTCAGTAAATACTTATTGAGTTATAGCTGAAATATCACCAGGCCTCACCTACTCCATCTTGTCTACACTAAAGCCACGCCGCTACCAGGCCCCACCACCGTCTTAATGTTGGTTCTATTGGGCATTACAGAGCCCATGCATGATGGGTATGTGCAAGTTACCGTGGTGCAAGAAAGCCAAACATCTTCATTTTCCTACCAGAGCCTGGTTCAGGATACATTCCTATTACAAGGAGGGGAAATACAGGTGATTCACAATCGAGGCTACTGATGGAAAGCTGTATATTATCCAGACAGCAACGGTGGGTCTCAATCAGTTAAAAGATTTTAGATATTGGACTGCTGTTGTCTGTGAAATACAGAGGCTGTGTTCGTGTTCAGTTTAATTCAGCATGCCTTTCTGAGCATCCAGCAAGTGTCTATCACTGTACTAGGCCTGTGGAAGTGCCACAAGATGGGAGCCAACAAAGAATGAAGTAAATGCTAGAGAGGTGTACGAAGGAGCGGGAACTCTGGATAGGAGGCTGCTTCATGGGGGAAAAAAAGCATTTGAAGACCTTGAGGA